TGAATCTCTGACCTCCAAAATCCCCTAAATATAAATAAATATCAAACTTTCATCATTTTAAAAGCTGTGACTAAAGTGAAACCGAACCATAGACTTCATTCTTCTGTCTCTCTGATTCTGAAAGTCATCTATACTTATCTAAACGCGTTTCATTTGAATGCACCTTTTATTCTGGACTCTAGTTACTTTGCATCTTTACTCTTTTTTTCTGGGAAGTGTGTTGTTAGATACTTAGTTGTAACTGGATATTATGAGTTTACAAGGTCAGCAAGTATGAACCATGGGGGCTACTTTTGCTTAATTATGTCAAGGTTTAAACTTTTACCCCTAGTATCATTTGGTGCATAATTAGCCTCCAAAATTAGTTATTCATTTTTATTTTAAAAATATGTATATAATGCAAAAGTATTTAGATGTGAACCAAGACTCTTAATTTTTAATTTTTTCTAACTAGGTTTTCATGGTTTATACCTGTGAATTGTATAAATTTATACTATCCATTTATAAGCTTCTTAACAAAATCTTAGTGAGATTTTTCATCTAAAATTAATCATCACACAAAAAAGTGGGTATTTGATTCATGTGACTTCATTATAGAGAAGTTGATACTCAGCCTTTACATCCTGAATGTATTATTTGACACAATGGAGAACTACTGCATATCTGAAAGCATTTAAATTCTGAAAGGTTCTCAAAAATCCAAGAAGAATTTCTTTCAAACAAAAAGGGCATTGATAAGAGAATAGGAAATACTTAGATTTATGACATGCTTTTATTTTTCTTTGTCTTCTTAACTATTCTAATATAGAGATGTTAGAAAAATAACCTAGCTTTCCCCCCAAAAGGTCATGTGATGTGCATTTTAAGTAACTAAGTCCAAAATGTAGGCATTGCATTATTCATTCACGTACAGTGTATATACAGGAATAGTTAGCTGACTCTGTATTTTATGTCATTGATTTGGCATAGTATCTTTCCAGAATGTGTCCCAGATGTTATATAAAAGTACTGAGTAAATACAAAAAATACACGTGCATGTGGGTACGTGTGTGAGTGTGTGCCTGCATGTTTCCACTGGATAAGAGGGAGGAAGCAAATAATACTTTTTATGATGTAATAAAAGAAACTATTTAGATGATATGAATGTTTACATTTTTATAAAGATGTAAATTATTTTAGTGGGCATCAGACATCAACTATAATGCCTTATGGCCTTTAATCTGACAGCTGACAACATGAATTTTCTGGATGATGATCAAGTACATGTTGATGCAGCTGTTGCCATAGTAAGCCATGACGAGGCATCTGCTGCAATTCCAAGTAATTGAACATGGACTTTTTCTGATACAAGCACCGAAAGCCTATGACTTATATTAATGAGAACCCAAAATTCAAATTGCTCATAAAATAAAAATGAAGTAAAACCTCTGTAAGATTGTAGGAGAGGACAAGAATAGTTTTCAAATGTGATAAATTCATATATACTGAATCATACTTCAGACAATCAGGGAATGTTCTCCAAGTAAATAAAATCAGCAGTAAAGATAAATTTAAACATGACAAGTGCACAGAGTATAACTTAAAGACGCCACTGTGCTTTGACGACTTGGTTTTCCTGTGGGTCATGTCTTGCCCACTATGTACTTGGACATGACAACCTGCTGACCCACATCTGGCTTTTTAGCAGGTGACGTGCCTAGAAATTGTGTCCTTATCGGTACAAGGATGGGCTCAGCCATCAATCTTAAAGAGGATTTAGAATTTCTATTAGCTCTAAGGAGAGTGTCTGAATGGAAAGGTACAAACTGTTACCAGGTTGAACTCCTGGCCTAAAGGTAGGAGGTTTGAGTCCACTCTCAGAGCACGTAGGAAGAAAGGTCGAGTGACCAGCTCCCCCAAATGCCACCACTGAAAGTCCAAAGAGCACAGACCTACACACCTTAGATCACAATGAGTAAGACTTGGTAGAATAGAACATAGTTCAGTCAATTTGAAGGGCTCAATCCACTGATGTGCTGGGGTGATTTTAAAAAAACATGGTGGCACAAGGGAAAGGTGCTTGTATACTAAGGCACCTGCCTCGCTGCTCAGAAGGAAGGGCTGGCCCTCTGTATCCACAAAAGCCTGGAGTTGAGAGAAAGGGGCAAACCTTCTGGGGGCCATTCTACAGTTTCACACAGTCTCTCTTGAGTTCCAAAGAACTCGAAGGTACTTAACAACAAAAAGATGATAAAAGCTGACTTCCTATGATTTATGTTTAGGTCTGTCTTGGAGCAGGGAAATAAACCCCCAAACCCGCATCTAGTCAACCATTTCAAGCTCATCCCAATGCTGTTCTCCAAAATCGCACCTGCTCGCCTTCCTAAGGAACCAATGCATTTTGTTCAGTCCCTCTGAATCTTGCTTGCCTGAACCAAAAAAATGACCAACTGCTTCTAGCTTTATTCCAAACACTGTCTGATTGGAAGGGTCAGACGCTCAGGGCACTTTACTTCGCTCCTCACTATGCCAGTGAGAATGGCTTAAAAATCGGCTTAAATTTCAACACATGGAAACTTGTGTTGAAATATATTTCCATTTCCCCTTTCTTTTAAAAGACAATTCTCCTTAAAATAGCAGGAATTTTGGATCCTGGAACGCATATTTCATTTTTGAGAGGCGGTGTGTATGACAGACGTGCTGTGAGTTGGCAAGGACTTTCTTATGTAGTACACATGTTGCGTACAAATTGAAAATCTTCTATTTTCTGTCTTTGAGAACACACTGTTTTGGTTTTTATGTTCTTGAAAGTTCTTTATGCGAGATGTATCTATTTTTTAAAATCATGTTAGACAGTAACTATAAGCAGAGGGAAAAAACGATGTGGAGTTTTAAAAGCATCAGAAAGGGAGCTTCAAATGTCGCGGTCTGACACTGCACAGCATCTAGTCAACCATTTCAAGCTCATCCCAATGCTGTTCTCCAAAATCGCACCTGCTCGCCTTCCTAAGGAACCAATGCATTTTGTTCAGTCCCTCTGAATCTTGCTTGCCTGAACCAAAAAAATGACCAACTGCTTCTAGCTTTATTTCCAGTACTCAACCTTTTCTTATTAACATTCGGCATTTTAATTTATTAAAAAGACAAAGCATGCTTATCACATCTTCATATTTATCATAAGATAAAATGGTTTCTTGACACCTAGTATTCCAGGCAGGCAAACACGAAAGCAGAATTTCTGTCTTTACCCTCCCTCTATACAAGGAGTTTCACAAAGTTCATGGAAAAATTGGAATGAAAAGATCATGGGATTCCTTCCCATGAAAATGTTGAAGCTCCTTCATGTCTCTCAATGCTGATAAGAACCACCAACATCTCCCCATTTCTACTCACCACTGCTCTGACTTTTTACTGACTTGCTGGTGACTACCTCCTCCAGCTGTCACCATCGGTCATCTTGCCTACGGTGGTGGTTTACATGAGCTAGGATGCCGGAAGCTATAAATCTATATAAGGTCACCAGAGTGGACAACTTGCACTAGAACTTCTAGCCTAAAACACACTAGGGAGAAAGGCTTGGTGATTTTCTCCATGAACCAACCAATGGACACCCCATAGACCACAGCAGAATAAGGCCCAACACAGTTTGAGAAGCTGGGATTCCGAGCTTAGAAATCCAAATGAAACTCCCTGCTGTTAAATTGATTTTGACTCCCAGCGACCTGATAGGACAGGGTAGAGCTTCCTCGGTGGGTTTCTGATACCATAATCTTCACGGAAGTAGAAAGCCTTGTCTGTCTCCTACGGAGTGGCTGGTGGTTTGAACTGCTGTCCTAGCTGCTAGCAGACCAACACATAACCACTACTCAAAGGTTAGAAGGCACTCAAAACTCCCAGGGGTTGCCACAGGGGGCTCAATCATAGCAACAGTTTTGAAAATGGCCCCGGGCCTGGCACGTTTTGTTTTGTTGCACAAGGAGTCCCCATTAATTGAAGCCAACAAAGAGCAACCGCCACCGACGCTCCCTCAGAAAAGCCCAGAAGAACGAGCTGGGAAGCAGAATCATAAGATCGGCACCTTCAGGCCTCCATTCTGATGTCCCCTTTCTAGACCGGTGGCAGAGCAAGACTGGGTCTGTGGACTAGGAGCCAATGGATTAGTTTGCTGCCATGTCCTGCAGTGTGAGTTTTCTACTATATAGCACTGACAGTGCAGACCCAGAGCAATATAGTTTGTACAAGGGCAGCCATTACAAAGCGGAAGGGCTGGGCATCACGAACACACCTGCGCTTACAGAAATAGTGTGACACAAATAGAAAGGGTGGAGACACGCACAGCAACTTTCATATCTCTTCCAGAGCATTTGGATGGGTTTCTCAACGATGTTCTGCACAGTTCTCTGCATAGGAGAGAATTGATAAGTCTAACTTCCCGTGCAAATCAAGAGCATAATTTTATGTGTTACATTTTCTGTTGAAAATCTGCATGAAATATTCATGGAACAAAAAGTCATACTTCTTAAAAATAATAAAGGAAAAAACCTTGAAAATGACAAAAGGCAACATCCAACAAAAAGCCCCCATAGGTTTACACTAATTTATCAACCCGCCCTAGGCTGAGATCAAAAGAGAACTGCATTTGGATCCTTGGGAGTTAATGAACTAGTTAATAATGTCCATGTTGCATTCTATCTCCTCTTATCTCAACTACATGGTGCATGTCACAAGGCTGAGGCACGCTAACAATCATTAATTGATTAATAGGGTGGGAAAATACAAATGGCTCTGATCCAAAACGATGGTTGTGGTTTGCTGCCCACCAATCAGTTCACCTCATAGTGACTCTCTGGACAGTACGGCCTAGTCCTGTGCCAGCCTCACAATCGTTATGCTTGAGGCCAGCAAACACGTGTGGTCTTGTATCTTATTGTTACTGGATAAAGACTATGCTGATATTGAGTAATACATTTTAGCAATATCTATAAACAAAATAGAAATGATGTGTTGGATGTTTTAAGTACCCTCGTGCTGGGATACCCATATACTTTGCAGACTTGACGACCTCCTCAAACTTCTCCATGCTTTCTTCGATGGAACAGTTAATATTCATTTTACTGAAGGATTCAGATGCAGCACCAAACACAGCTATCTCCGTGGCTCCTGCAGCAACCTGGAAAAACACAATTTAGAGGAAAAACATGAATAACTTTTTAAAACACATATATAATATTTGAATTCTTTATCATTTGCTGTAGGATTTACATTGAGGTTCCTTGCATCCTCCCACATGCAAACTTTTGAAATGTAAAATGGTTTACCATAACAGAATGATTCCAAAAATTTCAATCCTCATACATCTATCAGGCATGGAAAATCCATTGATGCTGTTCCAAGTTAATTTTGCCTTTCCCAAATTACATGTTCACTTCATAAATACTTTTATCCTAATTATGGGAAATGCCCAATAAAACCTCTTAAATTCTCTGAAAAGCATTATTTTTTAAGCAGTTATTAAACCAGAGGATTGTGAATTCTTCCTGCCTTTTCTTCCACTCACATTCAACAAGTTTCTCCCAATTTTCATTCAGCTTCTGTCCAATGTTTTCTTGTGCCTCAACCCAGCTTATATCATGTCATACCTTGATTGTTGTAGCCACACATCTGTGAGTCTCTTTGTAATTCCACCCTCTGTCTTTAGATACACAGTATAAACCTGATCCACATTCTCTTTTGTTCCTCTTGCCGTCTGCACTCCTTCCCCTGAGCTTCTCCATGCCACGCTTCTTAGTTTTCCAGATGGAGTTTTAGGACCTTCTGTTAATGTTAATTTGTCTCCACTACTCTGACTGGGTTCCCTCCTCTCTCTCCTGTCCTCGTAACTAACTAAAGGTTAAAAAGTTGTTCTATTATCTTCCCTTGAACAGTTAGCAATAGTGGTTTTTGCTCCTCTGTTCAAAATAAAATTTCAATCACTAAAACAACAAAAAGCTAAATTATTCAATATCTGCTGTGTGCCGATACTACTGTTAATACTTTGCAGGTATTATTTCAAACCGACAATCTTGTAAAACATATATTATCATGCCCATTTTAGTGACTATAAGAGACTAAATATGGAGCCCATGTCACATAGCTGAACAAAAGTTCTGGTCCTGTGTTCAAACACAGGCTTCTCTGATCCCAAGACAATCTTTCTTCTATTTCATATCTTATCCTTCTTCTAACTTATTCCGAAGGTGCGTTCTCAGTCAGTATCTTTCCAAAGGTGGAAATATCTCTACTTTGTTGGGAATGAAATGAATGAAAGATTAACAGCTTTTAACATTAACATTCTTTCTGAAGCAATAAAAAATGATATAAAATTGAACAAAAGAAAAAAAACTGGAAAGAATTTTCATAAGATTTATTCAGAAGTAATACATACCATCTAGCACCCACAAGAGTCAACTATTAGAAACCCAGTTTCATATCCAGAAGTGGAAAAACGAAATCCATCAATACCAGAAATGTCTTTCATTGAACAATTAGAGTAAAACTCCATAAGCAGGAGACAAGCGTGTTCTCAAAATTGCGCTCATTCTTGTTGGAAAGGTGTGTACTCATTAAAGCTTTCCTACCTATCGATCCCCAAATCACCTTATATTGGAAAGAAATGGGCCAGGAGAAAACTTGGAAAATATTAAATTGGATACAACACCAATGATTAGCCTCACAAAGAAGGAGAAAATAACAAGACAAAAATTAACAGGGAAAAAGTTGACAGAAATAATTATCCAGGTCAGTGATAATAATTATAGTATCATATTGAAAAGGATTTGATTTACCATCAGCATTCCATAATTAAAAGGGAAGCGTACTTTCTAAAGAATTTTATCAACAGATATAACTATTTTTTAAGTTTTGAATCCTGGAAAATTAAACTGGATAAAGCATTTATGTGAAGCATATTGGTCCCCAAGGTTGGGGCACAGGGTGACTTATCCCCATGTCCATGGCAGCATATGAACATAGCAGCTATGTAGGATAACAAATGAGCTGCATACAACACTTTTGTAATTTTTTGAACATTCTCAAAATAGTGGGAGGAATATAGATTTTATAAAAAAAACTCATAGCAGACTTACAGCACGGTGCAAACCCTGAAGATTAGGAGTCAGGACCGGATACCGAACTCCTGGATATTGGTGAATGCCTTTCATCACTTCAGTATGATCAGCCATCTTAAATGCATAATAGTGATACATAAGCTGTTTGCATATAACTATGAAACTATCAATCATTCTTTTCATTTTCCATTTATGCTAAATTAAATGCGCACTTTTATTCTCTAAATGACTATTTGGAATAAAACTATACCAATATCGCAGAAGGAAAAGTAATTCTCATTGTCAATGTTAGATGCCATTGACTCACTGCCATAGAAATACCATGATTAGATTTGAATTTAATTTTTTCATATAACAGGATGTAATTAAACAAGGAATTCTAGAAAGAAGGATGATTAAAACAATATTACTTTTAATTGACAAATATTCATTCTCTTAGCCTCATTTCGTGACCCAAGCCTTGAATAGTTTTGAAATTAGCAAAAGTTCAAAAGGCAATATATGATTTTATTTTCCACATAAAATTGCTATATCTAAATTAGGCTACCAATAATATTGAGTATATGAAAATTTATAATTCTTAGAAAAATACATATTACATTCTTCCACTTAATAATTTAACAAGTCTGAGATTTTAGCATGCTATATGCCAAGTACAAATTTTTAGAATCTTTAGTTTTCGGCACAGCTATTGCAGGAGCCATTGCCATCTATTCTCGTAATACAAATAAACAAACACCGAAAAATGCAACCTACCTATCGTCTTTATTTTGACCATCTATTTATAAGAATCCAGAACAAAACTAGGAATTAAAATATGAAGTTTACCAGATTCCCAGAAAGTCTAGAAATCAGCCTCTTAAACTGAAAGTTCCTAATCAAATCACATAGAATAATTTTTATTGGCATACACATGAAGCTTTTATGTATTTATAAACAATAAAGTATGGCAGAAACAATAGACAAGAAATCGTAATTAAGAAATGTCATATAAGCATGGGAAAACATGTGAAAGAATACAACAAAACAAAAACCTCAACTGTGCATCCACAGCATGTAAGCGGTGGTGATAAATGTTGAGGTGTGAGGCAGAGTAACTGGCTGTGATAGCGAAGGTTATGTGCTGGGCCAAGGCGCTCAGTAGTTTGGGAGTTGTTTAAAACATGATGCACCGATGAAACACCATACTCCTCTGGTTCCTTGGGGCTTCCTTACTCCTCACTATCATGACCCCAGTCCTGCCTTTTACTGCAGGCTAGACCGGAGCCTATGCATAGGTATAGATAAGAGATAAGAGCTCAAGACACAGGGCATCCAAGTAGCGATACCAGAATGGTAGGGGAGAGGAGGGGAGGAAGGGGGAGCCAATCGCAATAATCAACATATAATCCCCCCCACCCCTCTTCCAGAGGGATAAACAACAGAAACTGTGGGGGAAGGGAGACAGCAGTTGGTATAAGATATGAAAATAATAATTTATGATTTATCAAGGGGTCACAGGGTGGAAAGCAGGAGGGAGAGAAAAAAGAGGAGCTGATACCAAGGGTTCAATAAAAGTAAATATCTAGAAAATAATGATGGCAAAATATATACAAATATGCTTGATACAACTGATGTATGGATTGTTTTAAGAGCTGTAAGAGCCCCCAATAAAATGATCTTTTAATTAAAAACAAACAAACAAATAAAAAACTTGATTCAGCTGTTCATCAATGATGCAGTTTGGCAGTTAGCTGGTGATGTGATCATAATTCAGATTGTGATCTGATGTGATCATACTCCATTTCACGTAATGTCACTTTTCATAGAACGATCTTTCGAAAGTGACCACATCAAGAAATAAGAAAGGGTGCATTGTTCTTCAGTGAGAGCATAGTTTATAAAGCTTCAGACTAGAGAAGTGTCGACATGGCCTATAATAGCCTGTGTCACTGTTGTTCCACACCACTGATTCAATTCCTACTGACAGGAATCTAGTGGACAGAGTAGGACTACCCATCTGGTTTCCTGTGCCGTCATGTTTTGGGAAATGAATTGCCTGGTGGGTTTGAACTGACAACTTTTTGGGTAGCATCTGCGTGCTTCATCTTTGTGCCATCAGGGCTACTTTCAGATGATTTTAGCCTTCAGAATTCAAGCAACACAGCCGAGGTCCCAAATATTATGGGTCATAGATACTCTGTCCTCTTGTGAACTGTTCAAATTTTCTGACCAAAGAATATATGAGCATAACAAATGGTTATTTATACCACTAAGCTATAAGGGCTCCCATAAAAATGTACAACCTCAGAACCCCAAGGGGCTAGTTCTATTCTGCCTTTGTAGGGTCCCTGTGATTTGGAATCAACTTGAAGACATTAAGCTTAAGAAGTTATGAGGCAATTCATTACCCAATCATAAAAACTGGAACCTTGAAAAATGGGTAGGATTTGAAAAAAAGGAGACACAGTTGAAAAAGTAATAACACATTATCTGGAAATTTATTGGTGAATTAAAAAGAATCAGGCTGTATGTGAAGAGTGGGGCCCACACACTGTGATAGTCTTTGAGTTAGATTCTGGTTGGTCTAAATATTGAAGACAATGGAAAGTCATGGGGAATGGATGTTGAATTAGCAGAAGGTCTGGCTAAATATAATATTTAATGAAGATTAATCTGGGCTATGCAAAATGTACTCTAAGAAGAAGAATGGCAATTCTTAGGCAGTTGTGAGAATCTAGTTTGTGAAAAAGAACTGTAGAGAAATAACACTCATAAAAGCAGCAAACCCACCCTCCTCCACCAAAAAAATCCCCCTTCCAGTAGGAAGCAGTGCCTAGTAATGCAAGAATAATAGACTTTATGCAAAAATGTAATCCCCACTATTTCATAGGATCATTATGAAAATATTTAACAGGTACACATGTTATAATGTAAATTGAGTTAACCACAGCACTGAGCTTAACTTTTATGGGTGATGCAAGTTACGCTCTTGTCTTCTAATATGTTGACTTATGTAATTTTTCTGGCAGGCTGAAATCTCTCTCTAGCTTACACACATACCCACATGCACAAGCACATATGGAACACACAAAGTACAGCGGCAAATTAAGTCACCCAATCCCAATTTCAAGCAGAAAAATAACCAAAGTAACCGAGCAACTTAGAACATTGTAGTGAAACATTAAACAACAATGATCTTAAGCAATATTATTAATGCTTAAGTCTAACTAGGAACAAAACCCAGAGTTCAGGAGCAAATGAAGTTTTAAAATGATGGAATTTTCTACAAACCTTTTGAAGCTTCCTTAAATACATGTTTACATTTTAGAGACTTTTATTTGGTGAGTTGGTTTATTGTGCCAATCTGGCCGATAAACACGTGGGGTTAATTGAAGGGTGGAGAGATTAATGGCTCCGTGAGCCTTGCCTTTCTAGTTCTCGGGTCTCTTGCTTTCTGATGGTCGGACCAGGGTGCAACTGCCTTAGCCAGTTCCTGCTTCAGTTGACAAGGCTCACTTCCTGCAAGGCATCTCTGAGGAGAAGCCACATGGACCTATCCCAGGGCAGCCCTGACTGCTGGAGAAGCTGTGTGGAGACCCCTGTCGGCGCTGAGATGCTTATATATTCACTGACTCAGCTTTCCTCCTGCAGTCGGCATCATTGCGTCTGTTTTGTGAGATGGAGGAGGACTTTGTGGATTGGTGTCGGACATATGGGTTAATGAGTTAATGTTGGACTTGTGGACTTGGGCAGCACTAGGTTGGGGTGTTTTCTTGATGTGCACTTAACCTTTATATAAAACTCTCTCTTATACATATGTTTCTGTGGATTTGTTTCTCTAAAGTACCCAGGCTAGCACATTTGGCATATTAACAAAAATGAAAAGCAGCACTTCTTTCACCAATGTACAGATTTGGATAATGTAGGATTCACTCAGTATAAACTCAGGATAAAGTATGAGAAAGCAACTTTCTTGTGGCTCAATAGGATAGGGTAGAACTGCTTCTGTGACTTTCTGAGGATGTACACCATAAAAATGCTGAGAAGGGAAAGAGAACACTTACCCTATAACAAATACATGACATGGGCCTGTGATCAATTGTTTTATTCTACATATAACTTAATATATTGAATCAATATGAAGACATGGATATAATAAAGCGTGTTATTTTGCTCAAGAGATAATTCTATCAGTAGACCTAGAAAATTAACAGAAAACATAGTAACCAAATTCCTACACTGTGAATGTGGATCATCACACAGGAGGCTCTTAGGAAATTATGGCAAACATATTAATCAATAGTTTTACTTTTAAAAATTTGCTACATTATAATGAGACCAAGTAGATAATAATAATATTCTGCATAGTTTGGACAATAAAGAACTTTATGAAACCCAGATTGGATATGATTTGATTACAATGAATAGATCAGATTTCAATTAAAGATATAATTCTTCCTTAATTTTTTCCCTTGGCGGAGTTTATGCTATACTTCAATATTGGTGTTATTTCAGTGCGTTTAGTCTTTTATTCAAACTATAGTGGGACTACTCCTTTACAATTCATTGTTTTAGTACTTTAGCAAAAGCTAAAATACATATGGTTTGATTTACCATATTTTTGAGATTTTACTGTGACTTTTCATTTAAGATGATAAAAACCCCATGATTTGGTTGATAACATGTTTTTTCACCATCTGGCTACAGTTTGAAATAGTGATGTGTCCATCAGCCACCAAAACAAGCTAACCCATGGTTAATCAATTTCTCAGAAATTCACATTTTGATATGGATTCAAATAACCACAATATTTTTGCAACATTATGCAAGAATTTAAAATGTATGGGAATGGTCGCATGCATTAGAATGTAATAAACATATCACATTGAGACTTCATTTTCTACCACTATCATAGTAACATACATTTAAATATTCAAATATTTTTGAGCTTGCAGAATATTTTCTCAGATAATATTTCATCATTTTCTAGACACTAATGTTTCCTGTTACATATACAGTTTTCCAAAAGTTCATGGAAAATTTCCATGAAATTTTGAAAGCCTCCGTGTGTGTGTGTGTATGTGTACAATTTGAATATTTTCTTCAGACAAGGTTATGGCTCAAATATAACT